ATTGTCGTCATCGTCCGTCGACTTAGACGACTGTGAAGCGCGAATGTTTTTTAAGCAAAAACTTTTTTGTTGATCATTTTGAAAGAGATTAAAAACAACAGTGCGAGAGCGAAACAAAGAATTTTTCTAAGAAGTGGCTATTCTTTTGCTTCCCTTCTTTCGTCTCCCCGTTCCCTTTTGCCCTACCCACGAATATTTCCAACTTTTTAGGATTGATTGATGTTGTTAAACATTGTAATTGTTGTAGATAACGGCTTACCATTGCGGTGAGTTTGAAACTTCAAGTGGACGTGATGTTTGGAGTAAAGTCTTTTTTATTTCCTGCATATCAATTTCCTTTATTTTGTATTCAGTGATTAATCATTTGGAGGAAGATATAACCGTAGTGAAAAAATATATATATTTTGGTACACTTTTTTCATTTTCTTTTTTACTTTTAATTTTATTTTTTTGTCTTCACTGGACCGGTAGAACGAATACTGAAAATTATACAATTATCGTTGCCGTTTGTAGTTCTTGAAGTTTTTATGATCATGAACACTGCAAAGGGCATAAGCGTGTATAAGGTTAGCTGACTGTAAAAACGGTAAAGTTTAGCATAAGTAAGATCAAGTTGCTATTTTTCTTGATTTATTTCAAATTATTCAAGTCAGTCTGCTCACTTGTTCTAATACTGACTTTAAAAAAACTCGGTGTTTTTGTTATTTCATTAAAAATGACCCACTCAAACGGACTATTTAAGATTTAAGGGATGAAAAGAAATGGAAAAAGCGTGAAAGAAAGAGAGGATCAAAGGAACTGAAAAGGGCAGGTAAAAAGTCCATAAACTTTTTTCAGTTTTGCAAAAAACGAAAAAGTTCATCTTTGATGGATTTCGGCTGCACAGTTAAGTATAACATATATACCAGTTAGATATGTGTGGTGTTCCCATCACCTAAAGTTATCCGTACCGTGTCTCTATATACAGAGATATATGGGAGGGTATGGATTCCTTGAATCAGTGTGGGTTATCTCAGAAGTGTTCTTAGGTGGAAAAGTCTTATATTTTCCACCTTTTTACGCTTCTTCTCGTTCCCTTGTTTTCCTCCTTTCCCTCGCTCTCGCTTCCCTTCTCCAGCTTTGAGAACTACTCCCGCTTTCTCTAGCCATCTGTTTTTATCAAGATCCATGATCTTTTTCTTTCATATTTCTTGTTAAACAGTTTTGATAGGAGACTCAGTAGATGTTTAAAGGAAGATGAGAACGGCAGATGAAGAGGATTAGAATGGCCGAGTACCAGACATCACAAAACAAAGAATATACATCCGAAATTGCACAATTAGTCTGAGTTACTTTGTCGTAACTGACACGGGCCAAAAAAAAAAAGAATAAAATTTTTTTAAGAAAATAAGAGAAAGAAAAAAGAAGAAGAACGAAGATTTCTTCTTTCTTCCCAAATGTCAGCTGTGTGTGTGTCTGGATTTAAAATTTTTTTTTAAAACGCAACAGTGGCAATGACTGTTTAGAAGGGAAGAAAAGGAGAAGTCAGACTGAAAGAAAAAAAGAGAAGGGCGATGATGAAGAAATACTTTTAATGGACAAAGAAAGCAGAAACAAACAAAAGTATCTATGCAAACTTCTATTTTGCCTCATTTGATTTTTCAATAAATTACTGTTATTTTTTTTTCCGTTCTGTTTTACAAACAGTGACAGCTGATTCTGAATGAGAAATTGAAAGTTGAACGGAAAAAGCACAAAAAACATTGAATTGAGTTTTTTCACCATTTCCGTTTATTAACTGTTTTGTTGTTCTGGTTTTCTTTTTTTTTTCTTTTTGGCTGACTTTTTTTACTCGTTTAATATTGCCTCATCAGTTAAATTTGTAGACGATTTTTTTTTGTCATTAACAATACCATTTTTATGGTGTTACATTTTTTGTTTGTTTTGGTCTTTTTTTTTTCTTTTTTTTTTTTTTT